TAACAACATACAATAAAAAAGAATCTGAAAAGAAAAAATATGTATTGTATATATATGTATAACTGAGTCACTTTTCTGTACACCTAAAACTAACATTGTAAATCAACTACACTTCAATTAAAAAAAAGGGGTTTTTTTAACTAAAAAAGAAAAAAATTTAAGAATGTAAATTCACTGAGGGTTGAAAAATTAAGTTTTCAGCTCCCAGGCCAGAACATTGGGTCAGCATAGCTTCCTTGTCTTCCTCTCTGGTCAAGTCTGGCAAGCCGCCATGTTCTGTCAGCCCCACTCATTCAACATCCGTCATACCAGGCCTTCCTCTGCCTTTCCATACATCTTTCAGGCACTCATCTGTTCTCACTGCAACCTCCTTGGTCGCTTCCTCTCCCTCCAGCCCCTCCTGCACACTGCTATCCAAGTGACCTTTCTACAGCACATCCATTATTAGGGTGTCCAGTCTACAGGCAACACAACATCCCCGCCCCAGAGAAATAGTTTTATGCAGATCTTGAAGACTGCTTGGAGGGGAGTGAGACATTTCTCATGGGTAAGTAACACAGAAACTTTCTGGGAGTAAAGTTATCCAGGCTCCAAACACTGACCTTGGTTACTCAAAGTTATGAGTGTTTTCCCCTGTCCGGGAAAAGTGGATGGTCCTCACCAGTGGCCCGTGGACCCAAAGTCCATGAGAAACAGTCCCCTTGGCCAAGCAGTCTGTGCAATAGAATACCTTTTGGTAATGGTGGAGCCATCCAACCTCCAAACCACCCTCCAGAGAAGGAATTATTTCAACATATGCCCAGGAGTCATGACAAATCCGTTTCTCATCAGTTGTGGTCCTGTAAGTAATATTGCAGAGGTTCAGACTTAAAAATTCTGTTCTTGCACCAAACAAGGTCACATCTTTCAGCCTTTGGGGCATTTTTGGACCTTGGCTGGCAGAACACAGAAAATGTGTGCCTCTCTTTTTCTGTGTGATAGAAGCCTTCCTGTAACACTAATCAAAACATGCAGTGCTGCACATGCGTTTTAAGGATGCCCAGTGAGTAGAAAGTCAGCCATCCTGCCAGTCTATATAACAGACTAACAAAAAGGCAATCTCCTAGAGAGATATTAGAAATTCCAAAGGATTAAGATCCTTCAGAAAAAAATAAAAGAAACTTTGGTGGGAAGTGATACCACTTCCTAAATGTGAAAATTTTTCTCAGATAATACTGTCTACATTTGTAGAGTGCTTTACTGTTCACAAAACCCTTCCACATATAGTTTCTCATTTAATTCCCACAGCAATTTTGTGACCTGTTTTGATTCTGCTTTACAGATATGAAAATTGACCCTTAGAAAAATGAAACATTATGCCCACAAATAGCAGAATTAGTAAGTTGACAGAGTCTTAAATATGTCTTAATTCTCTTAATTCAGTGCACTCTCCAGTTTACCATATACTTATGATACAGGTGGTTGTCTGTGACATAGGAAGTTGGATAAAATTTTATTTTATCTATCATTTTCTGTAAGTTATAAGTAACATTCGGAGCATGAAACGGTGCCTTTTCCCATATAATGATTACTTTTCAGATCGCATTTCAAGATCATAATTAAGAGGTTTGATTGTCTGAAAAAAGGTGGGGTCACTCCCATTGTTGAAGGATTTTACTCGCTGCACCCAACTGCACGCAGGTTTTATGCACATTATTGATGGATACTTAAATGCCAAGATCATTACTAGGAACTTTCTCTGAGAATGTCCCATCTATCACGTGTCACCTTTGCCTTCAGAATGAAGACGTAATAGTAACATATCAGGAACAAAGCTATTTGCGCTTTGTGACTCTGAGCTACGCACACACATACAAGTAATGATAATACTGAAGTCTGAGAAGTAAGGAGGACTTCTGTTAAGTCTAATTGCAGACACCGCTTCATCATTTCCGTTATGAGGGATGAAGGAAGCAGCCTGCGTTTCTCAGAGCTGAAATTCACTGACAAGCTGGCACTCATTTTAACCCACTTTGGACTATGGGAAAATTTAGTTTACCCCTTTTTTTCTGCCTGCTTTCTGTGATCAAAAGACAAAAACACCAACTGTTAACCCCCTTTAAGTAATAATCTTTTAAAGTCATTAACGTGCTTTATAGTTTACAAAGCCTTGTTGTGTTATTTTCTTTAATCATAAAGCAGCCCCGTAAGATAGAGGTGTCACCCCCAGCTTACAAGTGTGGAAGCTGAGAGCTGTTGACTTGGCCATGCTCACACAGCTGCTGTCTGCCTTGGACCTGAAATTTCTCATCCCAAATCTCTGCACTAATTCGCAGGTTCTGAGCTGCCTACACACGCACGCACGCACACATGCACGCACATCCATGTGTGACTTGCAGGAAATAGAAATGATAACCAAGAAACCTTTAAAAAGTGGAGCTATATAATATAGTTATTTCTGTGGCTCCTGATAATATTATAGAACCACATTTTTAAGTGTGTTTTCATGTTCTGTGTTCTGGTGTTTTTCTTGTACGCCACTGCTTAAATACTGCATTTTCCAGGCAGATAAATAGAAAAAGTCCACCTACCCCAAGACCAGATTGACATAATACGAGCTCATTGTTTACCCCCTGAATAGGCACAACTTGTGCCCCGCCAATGCTTTGTCCACAGTCTTAACCTGGTTCCGTAAGAACCACCTGTATAAGTAGCTGGATAATGAAGTCCCTGCTCCAGTTTGCCTTGTGAATCTTCTGTTCAGATTAAGTCAGATAATAATATGTCTGAGTATTATTACAATTCTTGGACATAAGCCTGGACCACTGAGGCTGGGTGGACGTGACTTCAAAACACTGCAGTTAGGAGGATCATTTGTTGGGAGCTTCCTGTATGAAGAAACTGGAGGCAGAGAAATGTTTCATGCTGCCCTCAGGCTACCCGAGTCCTAGATCGGGGCAGAATCGTGTTTGGAGTGTTAGAGCTGTGAAGAATTGCCTTGTCTTGCTTGTTTCATCTCAGGTAGCAAACCGCTCTAAGATCACAGTGTAGAAACCAGATTACATCCTTTTATTTTTTTTTTCTGGGGGAAAAAAAGTGATTCATAAAAGACATCTGCCCAGAGAAATGGACTTCCTAACATCAGAAACGGATACCAGGGTCACTTCGAGATCCAGCAGAAACTTGGGTAGTGACTTAAATATTGACAAAGACAAGCCTGGGACTCAACGCAGAGAGAGCCTTTTCTGGAAATGCACCCTGACATCTGCACTGAACTTGAATTTTCAGGAAGTCACTTGTAGTTTCAGTGCATAAAGCGACTGGCAATAATCAGACAATATGTCAACTAAAGATCGGAAGCTCATGTTATTTAAATAAAGTCTTCCTGCTTTAATCAGTGCAGCCGTTAAGGAGAGTTTACATATGTGCTTTACCTCTCAGTCAAACAAAAACAAGCACCCCCCCCAGATGAAATTATACCTGATCTGAACAGGGGCTGAGCGTGGTGATGCTGGAGCAAGAGGAAGACAGGGCTGGACTTTCCTAAATGTTTCCAGTTCCATCTGTAGACAGAACCTGGAGATCTTTGGAAGTGTGTTTCGGCTGCCTACAGTGATGGTTGCTCTCCTGGAAATGTCATTGTGAGTGGGTATGACACGGGACTTGTGTGTTCCAAGTGACCTTATCTCAGTATCAGGCCTTGAGGGCATCGGTCCCCATTCAGTCAGGAGAAGCAGGAGCCAGGGAAGGAGCCTCCTGGAGTGGCCCAAGGTGAGGACGCTGCTTTCCTTCGAAATTAGCTCCCTACCACAGAGATTTCTATTTCTAAACTATTTAAATTTGGCTTGCAGGGGATTCTTCTGTGACCCTGGTGAGCTTCCTGCATCTGTTTTGTCTTAAATGCTTCCTAAAACATTTTTCAAAATCCACTCGTGATTTTCTAATCCTTCCTAATACATGCACTGCTTAAAATGCAACTCTTCTTTTTTTTTAATTTAAATCCTAGCTTTGAAAATGTAAACAAATGTGTGCGCCTTAAGAAAAGACTGGAAAAACTGAGTGAGGGCTGTTGGATGCAGAGTTGGATGTTGGTGGTTCTGTTGTTCACTCACCTTGCAGAAAATTTCAATTCCTAGCGTGCTTGGTCACTTCAATACGAAAAGTGAAGGCCTTGTCATTACAGCCATTGTTTATGTTGGATTAGGATGAAATAAATGTACTGCACTCCCTCTGCTGGCTCTGAAGCTGCAATAGCTTATTAACCAGCCCTATTTTTAGACGTATTTCGCCCATTAAAAAAAAAAATGGTGTGTAGAGAAAGCAAGCAAACCCTGGGAAAGCTGTTGATTTTGTTACTTGTTGAAAATGTCGAGAAAAACTAACGTCTGTTCAATGCCGTTGGTAGGATGAGCAAGAAAGCCTGGAGGTTCGGGGCTTTTCCATGCAGTACCGAGCAAAAGGGAGGGGCCATCTCCCGGGGCGCTCCTTAAAGCGGATCTCTAACTGCCTTGTAAAAATTATTCAGTCTCCTTCGGTACTGAAATAATGTTCTCCCAGAACTTCATGAACAAACCAATAGATGAGTTTGTTTTGTCTGTTCAGAACAGTCCCGGGAAGCAATGGCATTTCTTTAGCTTGGGATGGGAGGGAGGCGAGAGGGTGCGTTTCCCCGGGTGTCAGAAAGGAAAGCTGAACGATCACGGTCATCACGCTGAAACGCGATCCCCCAGGGGAGGCCACTTCCGGGCGGGAAAGCATGTTGCCCACAAGCCTGGAAGAGAATCACAGTGCCATGGAATTTTACGGCCGAGACAGCCCAAGACGCAATGGTTCTGCTTGTGAGTGAGGAGAGGCCACCAGGGGAGCAGAATGCTGCAGATGGTAGGGGCCCCGGCCCCGCCACCCCCCACCCCGGGCCCTGCTCCACTCTTGTGAATCAGCATATTGAGGTTCTCCTGCAGAGCCCATCCCCTGCCCGCAGTGTGCCCTCATTCTCCATTCTCGCCTGCTTCCTTCCCCAGGCGCCTGGATGCCAACCACATCAGCCACGTGCCCCCCAGCTGCTTCAGTGGCCTGCATTCCCTGAGGCACCTGTGGCTGGACGACAACGCTCTGACAGAAATCCCGGTCCAGGCTTTCAGAAGTTTATCAGCCCTGCAGGCCATGACCTTGGCCCTGAACAAAATCCACCACATACCAGACTATGCCTTTGGAAACCTCTCCAGCTTGGTAGTTCTGTAAGTTTTATTGATTTTTTTTCTCTCTCTCTCTGTCTCTTTTTCTCTTTTAAAGGCTTCTAAATTCACTGTAAGTGTAAGACCTTGTAATTCAGTAAGACCTTGGCCGTAAGGGGTGCCCTTCAGACTTTGAACAGGGACATTTCAAGGGAGGAAAACACCCTGCGCCCCTCCCCAAAATGACTCATAAATTTTCTAATTGCATACAAGAATTAAACAACATTTATCGAGCACCTGCTAAGTACCAAGCACTGCCAAGCCTTCAAAGATAACAAAATATGACCTCTGTCTTAGGGAATCCATTGTATATTGTACAGGTGATCACCACCCTGTACGTGTCGTCCCACGATCAAAGTTAATAACAATCCCTGATTCCTGACAATAATTTATAATTCAGGTCAAACTGAAATTATGCCCTTCTTATTACTTAATAAGTACTTCTTGAAACCCTTCCAAGGGAACAGCAGCAAGAAGGAACCCTTGGCAGCAAGCTAGGCATTTGTATGGCTTTTTTCCTGATAGGTCTAGATTTCATATTTTAAGTACATCAAAATGATTCTCAAGTAATCATGTTAAGTTTTATTTTTTAAGTTTAAGAGTGTAGCACAATGCCCTCTGTGTGTAATACAATAATAGTCAATCGCTGCTGATACAGGAAAACAGTAGCTACTTGGAAGGTATCATAAGATCAATTTGAGGGAGGAGGGTGTAGCTCAAGTGGTAGAGCGCAAGCTTGGCAAGCATGAGGTCTGGGATCAATCCCCGGTACTTCCCTGATAAATAAACAGATAAGTAAACCTAATTGCCCTTCCCCACCCCCCCAAAAAAAAAAACAGTTTGCATAGGAGCTTGTAGGAAAGCATCTTCCGCACTGTTTCTACTTTTGCTCCATGCCCCGCCCACCGCTGCTGTCAATCACTCCACTTTGCTTGGTGACACGTCTGTCTCTTGCATTGCGGTATATACTCCTCTGCGGGCTGGCCAGCATCTTACCCATCTTTTTAGGTTCCCCTCAATCCTCTTCCCTCATGTGTTGCATGAAAAAAAATTCTCGATTAAATGTCACATAGATCTCACATGAAACCAACATCTATTTATTAGAATAAAAACCTCAGTCTGAAAGGATAGGACATTTGGGGTGATACTAACAGATTTCTATATTGCATTTCACATACAAAGATGGTGCTTCTAACCCCCCAGGAGCTGGGTAGTTGCTTTAACCTAACCCTCCACTAGAGGGAATGCATTTACAGAGATCTGGCTACTCCATCTCCCCCTTCCTCCTTAAGCCCATTTTCCAAAAATCCCTTTGGGACTTGGTCCAGTTTTCAGCTATGTGCACAGCTGTTCTCACTGGCCCTGACCTCACCGACTTACCACTGAGCCAAAGATGATAATTAGGCACATTAATATTGTGTCAAGATAACCAACCTCCTTGAGCAGCCGAAAAATCTGATTCCCATTCTCTGTGGCTGAAATTACTGTTTCCTGTTAGCCTGTGGCCCCACCCCAGGAATGTGGCCATGATCAGCCATCAGCTTTAACAGAAAATGTGCTTGGTACACCTAGGACCTTCCCTCCATCCTCCCTTTGTCACTGTTGGTCAGAAGCTCTGTTCAACATCCTGCATCCCAAAGCCTTGCGGAATAGCCTGAATTTACCTTCACCAGTCACATTGCTCACTCCATGAGATCTCAAACCCCAAAAATAAATCTGTGGTGGCCTGTTAAATTCTTGGTATACAATCATCTGTGGTAAAAGGGAATGGGACATAGAGCCTTTAAAACAAACCAAAAAAACGTTGAACAAACCATTTCTTATGTATCATCAGTGCATTCCTTAGCAGAGGTTTTTTTTGGACTTCGGCAATCAGGATGTTGTGCCTAAGTTCCCCTGCGCATGTGCCCCGTGACTGTCTGTACGTTCTCCTGCAGGCATCTCCATAACAATGGAATCCACTCCCTGGGAAAGAAATGCTTTGATGGGCTCCACAGCCTAGAGACCTTGTGAGTTGACCTTTTATTTGTTTCCCATTTTTTTCAGTGTTTTCAGGACTATTCTAAGGGAATCAAAAATAGCCTTAAAGTCAAACTGGCTATTGGGTTTGGTCAATTGCCTGCGCTTTAAACAGATATTTACAGTGGCTTTATCTTACCTTCCCACCCACACACCCCACAGAGCTAAACCATAAAACCGAGATTTTCTGTGACTCTACCAAGAGTGATAAATTAGTTTAGGATCATTATAAGCTAACTGAGACATCCTCTGCTGAGCAGTGACTCTTTGCTTAGGAATGTGCCATCTCTGTGAAGGATCAGTTCGGTATTGTCACTCAGGCTCACAGCTCCAGAGTCTGGTCCTCCCCCTGACTGAGAGGATGCAGGAGAGGCGATGCCAGGCTCTCTGATCGGAGGTGAACAGGCATCTCAGAAGCTGATGGTGAAGGTTTCTGCTGAAGCAACGCAAGTCTGCAAAAAAAAAAAAAAAAAAAACCAAAAGAAACAGCTACCATTTATTAAGCATGTATCTAACCAAATACTGCACTGAGCCCTCGGCATACATTGTTGCAGTCAACCCTACAACCATCCTGGGAGAGCGGGGACTACTCGCCCATTTTCGGCTCCGGTAAGGGTCAGTTATTTTACCAACACGCCACAGCTAGTCAGCAGCAGAACTGGGGTTTGTTTCCTTCTGTAGTTTGACTCCGAAATCCGTGTTCACCTGTATGTGCTACTTCCAAAGAACAGGTCAAAACTGCAGTTCTCAGTTGGTACCTGTCCTGAAAATCCGTGGAGTCCAGCCAGCTGACTGCCCGGAGCCTAATCGCAGAGGAGTTGCTATGGGTCTTAGCGGGTCCAGTCGTTTCCCAGGAAGGGGCTGCTCTTCATTCTCCGGCTGAGTGAGAGAGGTGGAATGAGGGTGCGGGGACGGGCAGTGAGGGTCCTGAGTGTGCCGGGAGGGGAGGGACGTTCCAGCTGCTCCCTCCTCACCTCCACATCTTCAGTGCTCAAGTGTAATAAGCCACACAGGGCCGCCAAATCTGTCACGCTGGCTCTGCCCAGGACTGCAGAAGGAGGTGACCGGTGTGGCCTTCCTTGCAGCCCATCATTGCTCATTTGCATACAGAGCTTAGCCATTTGTACGTGGTCAGTTTAGCACCTGACCAGGTCTGCGTTCACTGATTTCTTGAGGGACCCAACAGCTCTCCTCCCAGGTTGCTTAGGTCACTCTGTGTTTCCTCTTGTAGGGGGAGGAATCATCCTCACAAGGAGATGCCAAAGATGAACTTGTGCAGGCAGGACTCTGAAGTCAACTTAACGGCATAAGCAAGCTGTTCCCATCAGCTGCTTAGAAAAATTAGAACTTTTCCCTTCTTATTTACACAAGGGCTGAGCTGGGGATCTTAGCAGTGGAAAGCACCTTCTAGTCCTTTTCAACACGACAGGAACGAAAAAACAAGATGGGCTTTGATAGGTACTGCCATAAATAGTCTTTCCTTTTTTCCCCTGATGTTTGCGGTGAGGACCCAAGATTGCAAATTCATGCAATTCATGCATTCAGGACAAATTCATGTGAGTCTCAATGTCCTCTCTTCCCTCGCCTTGCCCAGGGCTACACAGGATCAGTAAATTGGTTACTCCCAGCCTCTTCCTTTCCGTCGCTAGAGATCCAAGTAATTTATAAGGTCCCAATCCTCGTTTAATCAAAACAGAGCATCTGGAGAGATTTACAAACAGGAAGAAAATTTATGTCCACAAAAGACACAAGTTTCCTGCCTGCTGTATGGCTTAAGGATGGTTTGTGCCAGACAAGTAGGAATCTTGATTCATGTTTAACTCGGTCAAATTATCTCTCTCTCAAAATTAAATAGCAATTCTTTCCCACAGAGGAAGATCTAACCACATCTGATTGCCTGAGCAAAAGCTTTTTCTGCGTCATCTGGGAAATCCGCCATTCCCAGAGACCAGCAGGCAATTACTTTTTCATAGGAAGATGTAAATACAAGGTGGAGTAAATCTATAAAGCGCTCGTGAGTAATGGAATTGAAAAGCCATTTGTCCCATAATAGATAGAGAAATTCATGATTTGAATTTGGCCATTCCGTCTCTGTGCGTGAAGGATGGAGAGTTTTGCCTCCCAGACCAAGGAAAACATCATCCTTTGGCTCTGAATCCTCATTTGTGACCTTGTGGAAAGTCTAGACCTGATGTCCTTCCTGAGAGTGCCCTGGACCACATAAACCTCTCCAGAAGCAGGCTGACATCCTGGCCCTTAGGCCGGGGGAGAGACAGGAACTGGACCGGAGTCAGGAACAAAACCGTTCCCCAAGGTGTCCTCTCAGGAGAGAGTCTGAAAAGCAACGGGACAGAGTCAGAGGGCGGAGGAGGGAACAAGGAAGGGGACGCGGTACAGGAGTCCCAAGGAGGGCACAGACTAGCCGGCAGCTCATCGAGCCACGTTCAGGTGAAGCACTGCGTCCGCAAGCCACCAACACTGGGCCAAGCGTCCCTCCCACTTGGACCTTCACGCTGCTGATGTCCCTCCCTTTGTTTTAACGTCCAGTGCCACTGAGCCTTGACTCTTTGAAATTCCTCACGATCAATCCAATGACCATTTTAATGCAGATGCTTGTGGAACAGTGATGGTCAGTGAGCCAGCAAGATCTCTCTCCATGAAGAGAAGGAATGAGAATTGTTATCAATGATACTGGTTCACTGGGATAGCATGTTAACGTCCCTTGTAAATAGTGTGTATGAATTTTTAGATGAAAAACTGAACATTCTATTTACTTATTTTCAGAGACTTGAATTATAATCATCTTGATGAATTTCCTACTGCAATCAGGACACTCTCCAACCTTAAAGAACTGTAAGTAGGACAGACTTAGTGGGAGAAGCGCCATTCTTTGTGAATTTATTTAAGAATAGGTTTGACTCCTGTACATAATATGGTTTACTGAGAAAAATTTAAAAGGTCGTATACATAATGATTAAGCACATCCAAAATATATTTTAATTGGAGTCTATCACCAATAAATAGCAGATAATCTTTTTTTAATTTATAATTAATTTCTCTCATATACTTACATTAGAAAAAAGATACCTTTTTTTCTAAGCCATACTCTTTTCCTAAGCCATATTCCCCCGACATTTATATCCTTTATAGATTTGTAGAGAACTGTATCGGAATTCATATTTTCTGAGCATTTCGAAAGACAAGCTTTTCTAGGTTCCGTAAGTTTAGAGCTGGGTGAACACCACGTATGTGCCTAGGCTAATGCCAGAAGCTTTCACATACATGATTTCATATTCTTTTGATGCTTCATAAATCTTATTTAGTTTTTAAAGAAACCCACAATTTTATTATGGTAAAGCTAACCTTCAGCTATTAGGTGGCAAGTATGGTCTTTTGTATATATTATAATTTAATTAGCTTTTCTTTGTACCTAAAAAATGAATAACCTATGTAATGTTCTAACATTTGGAAAGGAAAATAAACAAAGAGGCTACTCTCTTGGCAGAGAGAAGCAAGGCACACAGCTAAAGGAGGTAGACAGCAAGGCTTATTTCCAAGAAAAAGCGGCTGCGGGGCTCTGCCTCAGGAAACCCACGTGCAGCTTAGCCGGGAAGCCATCCCTGGCTGTGGCCACGCAGCCCAGCGACTGCCCCTCACCTCATTCAGCCACAGACCCACGCAGGACCCCGAGACCACTGACTCTGCCCCTCTGCCGGTCGGACACATTAGCACCGACAGATGAGCATCAGTTTGCTATTACGGACTCCCTGAGCTGGGGCACCTTTCTTCAGCTGGGAAATTTTGTCCTCCTAAGGAGATTACTTAAATCTCTACTTCACTGTGGCTTAACTCAATTTTCTCTTTTCCTGGTTTCAAATCGGGTCAGGAGGGGCGATCATAATCCTCTCTCCAAAGATGGTTTCCTCCGTCTCAAGTTGTTATAAGACAGTGCTCTGTTATTAGATGCTAACAGATGGATTTTTCTCTCTGTAACATTAGCTTGTTAAGCACAATATTTATTTTCAGATTCTTGATTCCTCTTTCAAGATGACAGCTTGTGATTTTTTTTTTCTCCTAGAAAGTAGGTGAGGGCACAAAAGTTTCAGAATGGATAAAGGAATTTAACCTTGTTCTCTAGGTACTAAAAATGCTGATTATCACTGGGGGCAGGGAGGGACTGTTAAATAATTTTACAGCCCCCACCCCAGATTATTTTCTATAAATTATTTTTTCCTCTCTTTCTAGAGGATTTCATAGCAACAATATCAAGTCGATACCTGAGAAAGCCTTTGTGGGCAACCCTTCTCTTATTACAATGTAAGTGGTTTCTTTCTGATTTTTCTATCCTGAAATATAGCGTGCATTGCACTCTAAAGATCATATAATGAATGTTCTATATTTGCCCGCATTTTTGTCTCAGTCAGTGTAAGAACCTACACAGAGAAGTGTATATGGCAATGTTCGGCCAGGTTTTAGCTGAAATAATATTTTAAAGGGGAGGAGAGGGGGCTGCTGATTTATGCCAAGTCTCTACACCCATTCATTTTCAAGCCCAAACATTGAGTCACATTTATACAAACTAGGATGTAATTCTAGAAGGGTGCATATGAGGATGTATATGCCATAGTGGCATAAGACAGAGTTACAAATCCAATGTATATTAATTCTATGTTTCACATTTAGAAAACAGCAAATTGATCATGTGTACGGATACAGGAAGATGAAAAAATATGTTACGTATTAGGCTGGCTGTTAATTAAAAGACCACTGGCGGGTTTGGGGCATAGTACTGGCCTGAGGCCTCAAATATGGGCGAGGACAGTAAGGACAACTTTTGAACAGGACTCTGGGGCACTTCTTGGCATCTATTCGTCCTGCACCAACTTGCACCGTGTAGCTTTCTGGAACCGTGTAGCATTTGTCACAAATGAGCTGGAATCCCAATTAGCCCTGACAACTGAGAAGGGGGAAAAAATACCATTCATCATTTCTGAAATGTTCTGACAGCATATTGGCAAACTAAGGGTGTCAAAGTTTTATTGCCGATAAACATTAGTTCTCATTAGAGAGTATTTACATACTGAGAAGCTGGCAGATAGCACTGCCTTTCTTTGCCCCTTTTTTCCTTGAAGCCACGGGACTGGTTTTTCTTAATCACTCTTTTGATATGTTAATAGCCCTTGAGAGGGCTAACTGCCCCCAAGATTGGTCAGCACTTCTATCTTCTATTTGATGGTGCCGTTCTCCCCCAGAAACACTCCTCTCCTTGCTTCTGCCTCCGCTTCCATCTCTTGTCATTGCCACCCCTACCCGTACCCCCCCCCGACTCAATTTCTTTTGCCTCTCATGTCCCATTGGCTACCCAGGCCTCATTTCTGCCTCTCCAGTCCCCATCCTACCCAGAACTTCTTTCCCCACCTCTGCCGCCAGCCCCTCTGCTGGCCATTATCTTGAGATTTTTACCAGTCAAAGGCTCCCCTCCCTGCCTCTCCCGCCAGCAGGCAGAGCCATCACCCTGGAAGCACAGCATCCATACCGTCATTCTCTTGCTGTGAAAATACAGAGTCAGGACTGTCTTTTTAGGGTAAATGCCAACTCCTTAAGCTCCCATTCTGAGCTTTCCACGTGGCTGGCCCGTCCCCAATTACCCGATGCCATAACCCAGACCAACTAAACCACAGTCACCGAGCCAAGCTCTCCTTCATTTCCTTTGCTCCTGTGATGCCATCCCCTCACTGCGCGTGTTGAAATTTTGTTTTCCAGAGTCTACTTCAAACGACATTTTCATGAAGTTCTCCTTAACGCACGAGAGAACTCCATCCTGAGAACCCTATAGCTCCTTCTTTATGTTCGATACTCCTGCCTTATAGACACAAACACGCGTATTCATAGCCATCCTGTGTACTGACATACAGACCAACACACACACACGTACGTGAACGCAATTACATGCAAACAAGCCTATAGTTTAGATCAGGGCTAATGTCATATTTTGAAGGAAACTTCGTTTTTAAATCATAAGACTTACAGACATAGAAAACAAACTTATGGCTACGGTGGGGAGAGGGATGGGGCATAATTTGGGAGTTCAGGATTTGCAGGTACTAACTACTGTATACAGAATAAAGAACAAGGTCCTACTGTATAGCACAAGGAACTATATCCAATATTGTGTAATAATGAAAAAGACTAGGAAAAGGAATATATATATATATATATATATATATATATATATATATATATGACTGAAACACTATGCTGTACACCAGAAATTAACACAACATTGGAAACCAACTATACTTCAAGACCTATATTCCTCCTCTAGTTCTTCCTCTTACCAATTGTTTAATCCAAGGGAAAAAAAGAGGTCTGAGGGTAGGACCACAGAGGGGATTTCGGTTTGTTGAGTGACAGCTGTATCCCGGGCACTGTGCGAGCGGTGACATAACGCCTTAGCTCCTTCACTGTGTAGACAGACCCTACACCTCGGTATTACTACGTCGGTTTAACAAGTTAGGAAGTTGAAACTCTGGGAGATAAAGGACTTTCCAAAGTATCTGAGCCGCAGCTTCTTCCTCCCAAAATGGGGAAACAGTGTCTACATGTCCATGCTGTGGATCTCATAAAGTTGTCGGGTGGATCAACTCAGCTCCGTATGTGAAAGGCTTTGTCAACCAGAAAGTAATATCCTCTTATTTACTGGTTTTATCCCAACTAAGTCCAAGCTTCTTTAGGGCAGGGATACCTTATCATTCGTCTTCAAATCCCCCGCATCCAGCGTAATGCCACGCACATAGTAGATACCCAACCACAGCTTCCTTAATAAATCAGTCTTTAAATGCAAGCAGCACGTACCCTCATACTTTGAGCATAATAGACACCAATAAATATTTGTTGAATTTAGTTGAACTAGAAGGATGTCTCGGCTAAGAACTCTTTGCGGGGACTCCGCTTCCAGGAAGCTCAAATGCCATTCCATTACAAACATCTGGAAAACAAAATATTTTTCAAATTCTAATGATGTCTTACCTTTTAGAGCAATAATTAATTTTTAAAATTTTCTGATGTTACAAAAACCCAGAGTAGCAAATTTCCTCTCAAATAATTTGAAGGTTATATGGTATATGTTGAAAGATTTGACCAGAGGATATGACCCTCATGTAAATACATAGAACCTTATCTTTCTTTAGCTAATGATGTAATTGCCAGCACCTTGAATTACCTTTAGTCACTCAGTGAATATTCCACAGATGTTGGAGGCAGAGGAAGACTTCTAAGTATACCTACAATCAGTTCACTTGCTTTTCTTTCTCCTTAGTAGCTAACATTTTTATCTTCCTTGCTGTCAGCAATTTTCAGTTTTATATCGTATGAATTTCTTACTAAAATAATGTGAGTTAAAACACTTTTCAGGTTTGCCCCAAACCAACTAATCAGGACTGTTATGTAATAAAGTACAATCCAAATTAACATAAATTCATTTCAAGTATTTGTTGAAATCTTGAACAAGTATTCATTGGTCATTCAAGTTTTATTCTAAGACACTGGTGTTTGGATTTCTCTTTTTTTCCCCCAGACATTTCTATGACAACCCCATCCAGCTTGTTGGGAGATCTGCTTTTCAACATTTACCTGAACTAAGAACACTGTAAGTTTTTCTTTCTCCTACGGATCACTTTCCCATTGCAAGGTTGCTGTGAAGATCAAATGAACATTTTCAACCGCTCTGAAATGGCCATAAAAATAAATCCTTTCTAGACTCTTCTCCCAAGAACACTCACGTCCCTCTCCTCCCAGGACTTTGAATGGTGCTTCACAAATCACTGAATTTCCTGATTTAACTGGAACTGCGAGCCTGGAGAGTCTGTAAGTACTTGAGAAGGCTCTTGACTTTGAGCACTACCCTTAAAGCCTGGCCAGCCTTAACATCAGTAAATCAAAATATGTCACCGGGTGATGCCTGAATAAAAGAATGATGTCTGGTTTGTGTTTCAACAGGACTTTAACTGGCGCACAGATCTCATCTCTTCCTCCAACCGTCTGCGATCAGTTACCTAATCTCCAAGTGCTGTGCGTATGAGTGAGGCAATAATGTTGTGTAAACAGAGGTGAAATGACAGCCATTATTTCAATAATCCTTTAAAAGGGGAGAAAGTTCTTTCCTCGCAGGTCTTCAGGAGGTCAGGACTCCTTTGTCCCAGGGAACTGGCTCTTGGATGTGA